GACTGCTAGGGATATGGAAGGGGACCAGAAAGAGGAAGAGAAGCTAGGATAAGAGGGCAGAAGGGAGGGAGGATAGAATTGAAGCACTATATCTACATGTATAGAAATATCACGGTGAAACCCAGTCATTTGTACACCTAAGATATATTAAGGATTATAGTAAAAATTAAATGCAGCAGAATCTACTCTTAAGCTGCAGGAGTTTTGCTAATCAAAAGTGGTCTGAGCACACAAACCCAGATCTTCCTGGCTAACTCCCCTTCTTTATGTTTTTGTCTCTAGGCTTATTAATATTTCAAGTAACTTGATAATGCCCTAGTGAAGCTGTTTTCCAGTGCTTAAGCTTCACAGTGCTTCAGATGCACGCCTACAGGATTGGTCTCAATGTACCTTTCTTCATGGTTTTGTTTAGGGATTCTGCATGCTGAGATTCCCCTCTCTAGCATGATTTTAATTTAGAAAGGGATCAACAGTATTTTTCAATGGAACTCTTTAAAATGGGATAAGGACAAGATCCACTGATACAATAAAGTAAAAATAAAACAATCGACTATTACAAATTTGTCTTCACCAGTTTCTCCAACTTCCTTTCCTCCCACCCTTCCCTCATCCATTTGTCTGTCTTTTCTTACTATTCATCCTAGTAGCTGCAAGCTAATCTGTATCACTTTGAAATCAGTGTAGAATGAATAATAAAATAATAAATAGTAAAAGATAATATTTTTACTTCTGGAGACAAAAAACAGAGTCCTGAATATCTGAGCTCCAAGTTAGCTTTTAGGTTAATTCCGTTTTAGAAAAACTGAAATACATATAGGACTTAAGCAAGAAGTTTAAAAGGTTACTGATTTTCCCATGGTGAGTCATTATACATAATAAAGGCTGCCATTTAACCTTCGTCCATTTTGAGAAAATCTCTAATTTACAAATTGCTCCCAATGGGTTTTTAGCAGTTTACCATAATACTTTAGTTTAATAGATTAAAAATAAAAAGAAACATACAAATTTTAAATATTATAAACTTGGCATCTAAAATAAATATAGTAGAATTACTGACAACATTTTAGATGAATGGGGAAAAGTGAAGCTGTACATATTTGAAAAAATAATGCAAATAGCAAGTAAAATAATTGAAAATAATTTTAAAAATTCATATGCATAATTTCAAGGAGTTAGATAATATTAAGATAATTTTATTATCTTTAGATTACTAATCAAAAATACCAATTATGTATATTAGAGACACTGAGTTACATAGGAACCGGTTCAAAACAGAAAAAAAAAAGAATCAGAAGAAATAAGTGTGAATTTATGTGCACATTTGGGTATTTTGGGGTAAACTTTTCCTAGTTTACCAAGTTAGTTATAGTAAATTCTGCACAACCTTTATGTCCTTAGATCTAAAATGACATTGGGACTTTTTGTTTAAAAATAATCACACAGATTTCAAATACTTTTTCTAGTGACACAGAAGTTAGAATTATTTTATGTAGTGATATAAGGAGTTTCCATATTGTTTCAATGGAGTAATAGCAGGAATTTCCCAAAGATGATGATCACCTTGAATATTTGCATATATCACCATTTGGCACTGCAAATGTAATCTAACTGTGGCTCTTAGTAAAAAGAGGCTCTTCTTCCTTTATGTCCTTCTGAATATTAAATTAATGAATTATCTTTCAAATGTCAAATTTTAAAATAGCATTTTGATACATCTTAATGGATCTGGTCTCTGTTATTGATTTTGCTCACTTCTTCTAGAGACTTTGAATGATCCAAAGGATTTCTGTGGAAATACTCTGTATTAAGAGACCATGTATTTTATAGAATATTGCTTTATTCTCATGCGATTTAGATAGGGTGATAATATTACTACTTTGAAATGTTGTGTAGGAAGAGATGAAATTTTTGAAAATACAATGTAGTGATTTTGCAATTTCTTACTGTAAAAGTTTTACAAGCACATATTTATATATTGCTATACTCGTATACAAAATTCCATTTTTCTTTCTTCAAATGGAATGAGATTATGGAGATTAAAATATCGATGTTATGGAAAATCATTAATAATAGATATATTTTCATTATTTTCACTAGAAAGAAATTGATTTTTCTAGGAAACGTTCAGAAAATAATTCAGTTGATATAAAATCACTCCCAAGACCTGAATACAACCTCTAAAATGTTAAACTTTTCCCCTTATTAATTTTCATAAGGAATTCAAATATATCATCAAATGTACTTTGGATCTTTTACTGGAAAAAAGAAAGATATCTATTTTTGAAGCATAAGCTCCATGTATAATAATTTAAATTAGAATATGCATCTAGAAAGCAACAAAAAGGTAACAATGTAAAAAGAAATGATTTAGACAGAATTTTTCTGCAAAGTAACACAATTTTGAAATTAATCTGATTTCTTTCCTTATTGTGTGTCTATAGTAGATGAGAAAATTCCTTAAAAACTTGGCAAGGCTAATATCAAATTAACTATTTGGAAAGCATTGTTTTCATCAAGTATGACCAAAAATTAAGAGGCAGGTTTAAGGAAGGAAAGTAGACTTCAATTTCACAATGTAATTTTCCCAACAATTAATCATTTCTTATTTAAATACAAACTACATGTATATGGCAAGTCTAATGTTGCTGAAAAGATTTTATTTTTGTATATGTGTTGGAGGTACTCTACCAGGCCAGTCAAATAAACATAGTTCTGAATTTCTTTTCTCCATGCAGAAATATTTTGTTAAACTTTTGATTCTGGAATAATTATATATTTTCAGTTACCTTATTCCTATCATTCTAAATAGTGTACAAAGGACAGAAAATTAAGTGAAAAGTACTTTAGTTATGTAAATAGCAAGTAAAGATCCAAATATATTTGTCATTTCTAAGACCACCATAGGTAAAACTGCATAGTTACTTAGGACTTTCAAAACTCTTTCTTTGGTGAAATCCAGAAATATATAAAATACCAAAGTAGTATAATTAATGCACTAGCAAGTTAATATAGAAAAAAAAAGGTTGCCCTGTGATAAAAAAAATAAAATTTGGAACAGCTAGAAAAATAATTAGAACAGGAACACAGGATGGAGTATAAAAAAACTACATACTCTAAATCTGGCTCAGTCTGAAGTATATGCTGATCTTTTCCAGGATCAAGAAAAATACAACTGTGTTTTATTTTTGTTCAAATTCTTTGTTTTTATTTGAGTCTCCTATTTTACTATAAGCATATACCCTCATCTAGGAGATCACAAACTGAGTTTTATCAGAAAACTCAGATATATTTTCATATGATTCATAGCACTGAAATATGTTTAAGATATTCAAATTTGTATAATCTCTGAGAAAGTACTATTTGGCAATGTGAAGATTTGTTTTAAAAGCTTAGTCACACATATTTATCTGACAAACTTTCAATGAATGCAATAAGCAGCTTGAATTATATCTAAAGGGATAGAATTAAGTTCTATAAAATATAATTAATTTCTGAAAAGAAAATTAAACTCTTAAAATCCTATTAATTTGTAATTCTGTATTTTTGTTAAATTCTTTTTAATATGCAATTATTAAAAAGAATGCATGTCACAAAGTCTTTAAATAAAAATAAAATCTTGTTCTTATTACACATTTACTCATAACTGAAACTAAGAACTTGTTAACTCTTTACTTGTAAATAGCACGTGATCTTTTCACAGTTCAAGGGTAAGAAGCGAACGGGTAAAGAAGTGACCTGATGAAGACCAGGAACTTCCCAGTGGGAATCTGTCCACAGAACCAGCATTTTAGCATCACTTTGGAAAGAAGGGAAAGATGTAGGAACTCTGTTGATTTCTTTGGTATTTAAACATCCCCATTTCTTCAAATAATCTGAGATTTACTGCTCTTTTCCCAATATAGCACTTTGTCTCTGGTCTCAAATATAGTTTACTTTAGCCCTGAGCTGAGAAACTGCTTGCATGCTCTGACAGGGGCCATCTATGTTTTGTTTGGCCTGCACATCGTTCACTATGCAAAGTTTTAAACAGTAGTCTCTGATTTTGAACACTTTAAACATATAGAAATAAAGATCCTCCTGAAAAACTGCACCTTTGGTGCCTAGGACCTTTCCCCACATAACCACGATTAGCTTATGAATCTGTCCAGAGATCAGACATGGATGCCCAGATTCTTACAACTTCCTCTATTTCTGATCCCCAAGTGAGGGACAGATTACTCCTGACACCTTGCCTTTCGATGACATTTGTATTCCATTCAGTCTTAGAACTGCAATTGAGAGTCCTGGTTTAGTTTCTTCACTTGTCCCATCTTGCAGTCTGACTCACTTGAGTGATCCTTTAATCCTGTTTTATTTCTGGGTCCTTACCTTGATCCTTGATGTTCTCCCATGCTCATACTTCTGGGTCTCATGTTCCATTCTCCCTGGTCCATCCCAACTTTTATTAGAATGTACCAGTTACGAGTGTTGTTTGAACTTTTGGATTTTAATTATTTCTCACTCATCAATACACAGGTAAATCTTACCACTGCAGAATTTAGATGCCAATTTTTAAAAAGACAGAAAATTACCAGAAAGTTAGTAAATTATCATGGGAATGGTACTCAGGCACATGTTTTCCAAGGATACATCTTTACATATTTTGTACCAGAATTGTGCCTTCAAATACTCTTTGTTTAAGCAAAGGTTCAGAGAAACGAATTTGTAACACTGTTCTATCAGTGTACTGTGACAAAGACTTCTTCTTTATATGAAGTACATAACTGTTTAAGGGCCTAACTTCAAAGTCCAAATATGTGTGTTTTGGCTGTGTTCTTTAATAGCACACAATAATTACATCTTTGAAATGCATATTAAGTGACTGGCAATGAAATTTATGCTTTCTCAATAATAGATGTAGTTATGGTTGAAAGAAAAGGCAGATTACAGGTTCCCTTTGAACTTTCATTACTATGCAAAATGTAATATTTCAGTTGTATTGTTCCAACAAGCAGACTTACCACGGCAGTGTATTCCTTCGTCATAACCATCTGAGCAATCCAGGACACCATTGCATAGTTGGGATAAATGCACACATTCGTTGGCACTACGGCAAGCAATGTGATTCAAGGGGCACTTGATTTCTACTTCCTCAGGACCTAAAAGAAATGTAAAAATGAATTATTAGTACTAATTTACAAAACTACAGAAAATACTACTGAAGTGCTGCTCTTATTCTAAGAAACATCTAAATTAGCCTGTGTGAATAAAAATCCAATTTTAAAAAGTTGCATAGGAAATGAGATATTGTACATTTTTTTATAATACATTAAAAATATAATATGCTTTTAAGGCATGGAAAAAGCATAGATTTAAAATCCGAGTGTTGGTTTTCTCCCTTACCCCTAAATTGAACAAAGTACTTAAACTCCTTGAATCTCCATTTCCTCAAGTACAAAATATGGATAACAGAAATTTCTTAGCAGGATTCTCATTAGAATTCAAGTGACATGAATAAAAAAGATTTATAGTTCAAACATCCCTAAAACAGAAATTCAAAATGTAAATGTTCCAATATGTGAAATGTTGGCATTCAATTAGAAAAGTCTATGCAAATATTCCAAAATCCAAAATTCTCCCAAATCTGAAACACTTTGGTTCCCAAGCATTCTGAGAGGTATATTCAATGTATAGTAGAAATTAATTGAAGTTGTATCAAAAGAAATTTACTTTATATGTAGCTAATCTTTAGAAAATGAAGAATATCTACTTATAAACTTCTTGATATGTAATTCTTTACTTAAAAAAAACTTTTTCTGTATCACTATAATCCACTAGAATTTGCTGAAGAGTTGATGATGAACAGGGCATATTTATTAAGTCTACCTGCTGGCAGTTAACTATTGTGTACACTGACTCCCTTAATTACAGATAAGCTTTTAAAAAAGAGCATGGTTCTTAAAGTTCATGAAATCTAGGTCTCTACCAAACATCTAAATTGTATGTTGTCTATTTGGATTTCCACTTTCTAATTTTCAACATCTAGCCATATCCTCAATAGGAACTCTCCAGTTCCTAATGTGATTTTGCTCTTCCAAATCCAGAGTGTAATAATATTGACATCATCACAATCATGTATCAATATTAAATTGATTATTGCAAATAACTAATTCTATGGCAAAATATGTTTGGGTTTTAATCATGCTCTACAATGCAAAGGGACATCAATTTATTTGATTTGGTAATAAACAGTATTCTCACTTCTAAAATGGGACTATCAGTTGAGCAGTTTTATAGGTACTTTATTGCAAATGGCTGGAGTTTTTGATTATAAAGCGTTGAGTGCTGTGAGATTCAGACTCAGTGTAGAATTCCATGTTATTCATGTTAAATGAACGCAGTATACCAGAATGGCTCATAGACCGGAGAGAGTTTCCTGGGTCCGAATTCTGACAACCCTATTTAGAAGTACCTTAGGCAAGGTGTCTACCATGTTTTTACTTCACAAGCTTTTGGTTAAAGTTGTCTTAAAAGCCTTTAGCTTGCTTGACAAGCACTAAATAAGTGTTTGCTGTTTTCACAGTTTTAAAGAACATTCTAGGAATGTTGCCTTTTGATAAGTACTTAAACCTTTCTATTCAGCTATAAGACCCTAAAGGGTAAAACATCTCAAAAACTATATGTTTTACTTTCACGATTTAGTTCAGACAAAATAATAATTATTTAAAAAGTCAATATAACACATTATAGCATATGCAAAATTATGAGAATTGCCAAAGACAGTGTTGTAAAATAATATAAAACGAACAAAAATTGCACATAAGCAAAACAAAAACAAAAGCCTGTAGTTACCAAAAGTAAACTATATTTTTGAAACATCATATAAATATGAATTTATGATATAAGTGATATTGTTTAATGATAAAACAGACTTCTCTAACCCTTTTATTTTGGGGGATATAAAAAATTTATGATGACACATCATTAGGTAAAGTATTATCACTAACAGATTTCTCTGTAATGTAATGTATATTTATATTTATATAATAACTGCTATATAAAGCTATTCATTTTGTCAAGAACTTGTCACCACAAATGTATAACTCATTTTAATGTAATAAGGTGTGGTATGTTGAGTATCAATATTTCTAAAAATTACATTTTTATGTATATGTATATGTACATATATTTCTATATAATTAAAGTATAAATACCCACACTTGAATTCAAATTACAGTAATAAAGGCAAATGAAACATTCTTTTCACTGAGTTTCCCACTATTTAGACTTATATTTGTAAGATCAATATCATTTAGAAATCAAATTAAAAAGCTGTAAACTGCTAGTGTCAATGGTTATAAAGTAGCTTCTGTTAAAATTAAATAGCTGATTCTCTTAAAAAAATTAAAACATGCATCCTGTATGATTGTCAAAGTGGTGTTTACGTAGGTTATATTTAGATCCCTTCAAAATTCCAACAATAACCTACAGAAAAAATACTTCAAAAACTTGGGGAATTTTAGCAAGAAAACAAAAATGACTTAGAAGTTCTTATAGACAGAAAGCTTGTGACATGTGTTAGATCAAATGAAAATATTCTTTTCCATTTTTAAGTCTGTGAGATAATTGATAAAGATGACAATGATAACAGAAGTGAAATACACACCTGGGGATCAGAAGAAAGACTCGGTCACCTATAAATGTTGACAAAAGGGTAAAATATTTGGATTGCTCATATGCAATATATAGAACTATTAGATTATTCCTAGCAGTCATATATAGGATAAAGAGAGAACAGAGCTTGGGAGAACTAAAGAAACCCGTGGTTTCAGTATAGACTAACTGGTATAGTCTTCCCCATCTCTGACTTATTTTTGTCTTGGTTTGTATTACTTCTAAGTAACCCACACAATAGCTAGACCATGGCTTCATGGACTGCACCTTAACTAGTCCTTCCCAATTGTTTATATGAAAGTGTAGTAACACAATGATAAAATTTGTCAGGCACACTGCAATATATGGAGATTATTTGTACAAGTTGCCACAAAACTTGAAAGTTAACCTCACAATTGAAGGAATCAATATCTCACACCCTTTGACCAGGACTAGTATACTTCAACTGGAAAATTACTAAAACCAATATTATTGTTGTTATTTCTATAAAGCGGGGATAGAGAGAGAGCTCAATCTGATAAGTACCAATGTCTTCCTCAACCCAAATCCTTCTAGAACCATACAACATGCATAGTGCTGTTGCTTTGAGGGATAACCCATCATTGATTGCCAATGATCATAGGTACAGTGCAGGAATATCAACCCACGTGGCTCCTTTATCCTACCCTCTCAATGGACAGAAAAGCCAGTCTAATCAATTCTGCTATTTGTCTGTGTGTCAAGCAGAAACATGTGATGATAGAGGCTAAATAAATTTCTGAAATCATGCCAACGCTGCAGAATATTATTCTTCTATGAAGACTGCAACAGACTCAGAACATTGTACAAGTGGAGATCATCACTGCCAGTGCCTAAATCTAATTTCACATGATCTAAGCAATATGACAATTTAAAATATAATGATTAAAAAAACTCTTCATCATTAGTGGGGCTTAAATTGTATCTACACATGAGAATAGTGTTTACACTTTAAATTATTTATATCCATTACCCAATTAGTTGAAATAGCTATATTTCTAAATACAAGCCTTCTAGGATAAGTCAAGGATAATGGGATTCATCGGTATCCTTTTGAAAGTTTAAATCATATTTTAAGTATAAAAATATTTTGTTCTGTTCAGTAATAAGAAATAAGAAAAGACATAGCCTCCCTAAATATATTTTCTGAATAATAGTAATTGACATAGTGCATTTCTTGGAAAAATAGTAATTTTTTCTCCCCACCATAGTGGCAAATACTGTCAAATATCTGCACTTGTCATATCATCGCATCTTAGCAGAAATAGCATCACTCCTTTTGTGTCAAAGTTAACCCCACCTTACACTGTAATCATATCCTATAGTCTGGGTCTTGTCTTGTCAAGAATAATCTCTTGGTTGTATTTTCCATTTATACCTTTCCAATGGTTTTAAGTCCTCTGCCCGCAGTGACATTCAATTTCCATAACCTCTATATAAGAATAAAGTCATTTTTGTTGATTGAACTTTCCCTTAAAAAGCATTACTTTTTTCTTACTCTAAAAATTAACTGCTTAGCTTCTTCAAAATACAACTCATCTGCTGCATCCCAGAGCCCTTCTCACCCTGCCTCCAACATTCTGCTGAGCTTGTTCCCTCCAAGTTCTCTGTAGTTGTGCTGACAATGAATTCAGAGGGACACAAAGCCTTTCAAAAAATGACCAGACTTCCTCTATCTTTGCAACATACACAAATCTTCTTTCCCATGATCCTCATAGTCTAGTCCTACACATTGTTATTGTTGACATTATTGTTTACAGAATTCCTTGCAAACACCTGGATGCATTTCATACACTCTCCTTCATAAACTTCCATCTGTCATCTGCCTGTGAAACACATAATCATCTTCAACATTATACTGTCATTACTGTTCCTACTAATTTTTACTAAGTTCCCCAAACTGTGCAGCCTATTGTAAATTTGTCCATGATTATTATTTGTAAGTATTTTTCTTTGATGTTAGACTATGATATAACACATCAGTGATTATTTCATCTTCATATTACATGCACCTAGCACACAGCCTAACATGCAATATGTGCCTGATATACAGTTTTTGAATGAATGGACAGTACATTTTAACTGTTACTAATTTCTCCTTCTCTCTTACACACTAGAACCTACCTTTTCCTATCAATAATGCATTCTCAGACCAAGTTCTATTTACCACTTTCCCCCATGATTGCTGTCAAAATTTACGATGGTTATTCATTGCTGGCCAAAACAAAATGAAATTCTATTGCCTGATTGCATCACCTAATTTAAATTTGATTATCATTATTTGCAACTAATTTTCAGTATTTATATCCTGCTTCACTCAGGGTCATCTTTCACCTTCCTAAAATATACCCATTTATTCTCACTTCTGGATTTTTCTTTATGCAATATAACATTTGGAAGGTAAATCTTCTCTTTTCTTCATCCAAAACACTCCTGCAAAGTCAAATTCAAACCCTAGACTTTTCTT